TATGCTATCTGGAAGCTCAAAAAAATCCACTTTAATTACAAGTTTTTATATATCTATAGGCTTCATTTATGTAATTTAGTACTTTTTATTTTGAAAAAGCCTAATTCAATACTAAAAATATTTGAATGGTGCCATATGCTACATTTAAGCTATTCTTCACAACATGTTGGTAGAAAGGTTGTTACTTTTAGAATGAAGGTTTTTTATACCATCACTATCCTATTCTATACCAAAGATCTTTTTTTACTTTAGAGTTTTGGTTTTGTGAAGAATTTAAGGCTTGGTTGCCTTTTGCCTTACATAAAAGGTTGACATTGGCTAAAATAATGATGCAACATAAGATACAGCTTGGATTCACTAAGTTCTAATGCTTTAACTATCGAATTGATTAATAAGGCAATTACTACATCTATTGAGATAATAAGGTTCATACCTTCTTTTCAGATGGGTTGACAACATTGTAACTGAGTCACTTTGATCTGAGTCCATTGAATTGTTCTATTTGCTAAGTAATTATCTAATAAAGCTTTAACTTTTGCTATGATTTTTTGTACCTTTTTATAGTAAGATAAAAAAGAATATGATTGACAATAGAATACTATTAACTACCATTCTTCTTTTTGTTGTATTGACCATTCTTGATTACCAATAATATAGTTTTTTATTAATTCTATTTTATAAGAAGATATCCATATCTTTTGCCATGAAAAAGAAACCAAATAGAACCTCTAAAACTTTTCTAACTTCTCTTTTCTATGTTTACTTAATCTCCATTCAATTTGTCCAAGTTGGACGATTTAATTCATGACTATTATTCCAATGTTCATTTAATTTAGCCTAATTTATTTTCAAACCTAAACCCCACAAAATGTTTCAAGTGTGTGATTGGTGTTTTATATACTACCTTCTTCTTTAATGATTCCAATGATGTATCATCCACATATTGAGCCTAAATTATTATTTATGAGCAATTAGAATCTCATTGTTTTTGATAGTACTATTATTAATCTTCTCTATGATCATTGTATTAAGAACTTTGGCCTCAATGATAAAATATATATATATATATATATATATATATAGAACCAAGTAGCAACCTTGTCTTATTCATTTTTCTATTTAAATAATTCTAAAATCCATTGATTTTAATATAGGTACAAGTATCAAGAAAGGAAAGTCAAGCCATGCAATTGAATTCATTAGAAAAACCTATTGTTTCTATTATTTGAAATAGAAAATACCACTCCACCATATCATATGCCTTCAAGAAGTTAAGTTTTAGAAAGAGTAGTGGTTGCTTGGACTTTTTTGCCCACAATATTATTTCATAAGTAAGAATTATATTATTAAGTATGAATTTCTTGGATAAGAAGGCCAATTGGTCTTTGCTAATAATTTTTGTTAGTATTTGTTGGAGCCAAATTTAAAGTGCTTTGGCATAAATCTTGTAGGCTATTTTAAGAGGAGTGATTGGCCTCCAATTAGTAAGGTTGCTCCTTGCTCTCCTTTGTGTAATAGCGCTACCATCCTTTTTGTCATACTAAGAGAAGGTGCCCTTGCTCTCCTTTGTGGAATAGCACTACCATTCTTTTTGTGACACTAAGAGAAGGCGCCCTTGCATAATGCTTCCTTCTAGCATAGCTAAGTATTCAACTCAAATTATGTTCCAAAATTCCTTGTAAAACTCCTAAATCATTCCATCCAGTTTTGGTGACTTTCCTACACACATTTCATTTAATGCCGTTGTAATTTCTGCTACTGTGAGAGGCTTTTGTAATTTTTGAATAGAATCCGGATCTAGGCTGCCCCTAATGCCATTCATTTCTAGCGGGCTTGCCCTCCTAGTTTCTTTTGTGGGTGGCCTAGCCTGGTATAAGTTCCAATAAAAATTCTAACATATGTACGCCATGATGTCCTAGTTATTATGCAACTGGCCATATGTATCCTCCAATTCTGTGATTTGCAAGGAGGCAGGTCGTTCTCTGTTTGATTGAAAAAATTCCGACGTACAACGGTCCCCAAGTCTCTGCCACTTCAGCCTTGAGCGTACGCTTTTTCCCTATGCCTTCTGGATTTTGAGTCTGTGGACTTGGTCTGAACAATCGGCCAACTTCAATTATCGGGCCGCACCCCTAGGGTCCCAATGAAGTACCTCCAATACTTCTGTGAGCTCCTTACATAGCTGGTTCCTTTCCCTCTTTTGTGCGACGGCTATGGTGATACAATAACTGCGGTACGTCTTTGTGCATCTGCGAAGCTTTCCAATGAAAGGCAGATTTGGGTGCGCTTGCCATATGCTCCAAATTTGTGCTTGGTATTTCTGCCGTATTCAAAATTTGTGCTTTCATGACATGAGCGGATTTGCAACTTGGTGTTGGCTGGTGGTTGATCCGCCTCCACACCCCCAAGTGATTTGAGAATATTCTGTCTCCATGGATTTCATATTCAGTACCCGTTGTGTTGTCGCTCGGTGATATGAAACAGTTGTTTCTGTCCAGCCGAGTTAGTGTGCAATTCCCGTTCCTTCTTCTGTTATCCCAGCTGTACCGCACTGTATTCGCCGTTGGGAAGTTATCCTTGACCTGTAGTGTGTTTTTGAGTGCGGTAAACATTCTTTGTTTCTCCCTTGATATGACAATTCCATAGACATTGGATTTATCCCTCGCATGTTTTACACAGTTCCAATCACCCGTGACTACCCACCGGCAGTCTATGGATAGTGCAAATAGCAGCTTGTTCCACAACTTGCACCTCTCTCGCGTAGTATGTGGACTGTAGACATTGAGTATTGCAGTGCCCTTGCTGGGAGTCCCTTTGAGTCTCACCCAATGTGGTCTTCTAGACCTCGTTTCAACTGAAGATGTTATTGAATGTGCCAAGCGGGGGATGATCCACATAGACACCCCGCCGCTACCAGCACTCGCATCCTCCGCGTTGTGGTTATACGTCACTGCCGCATCCTGGCTAAAGAAACTTGTTCCCCGCCATATCATGTTTTTTAAACCCGCTAATTTAACTCCTCTCAGTTTCTATTTTTGTAAATAAAGAACGTCCACCCTGTGCAGATGTTGGCGGAAGTAATTCTTTACAATTTTAATTTTCATTGGATCATTTAGACCACGTATGTTCTACATTAGGATGTCGATTTTCAAGAATCAGAGAGGAGGGCGTGGAGGAACTAATCTTGGGATCTATCTTCGATGTGTTCTAAGAGCCATCCATTTCCTTATTATTGTATGAATCGAAGGGAGCGCTACTTTCTCGGTGCCTCCAGTTGTTGGTTCCTGCGTAGAATGGTTTTATTGGACTTTTGATTCTAAGGAGGGGAATTTTTTAATTTGTTTATAATCCCCGGCCTTCTTAACCATGCCGTGAATATGGAGGTTAAATACGCTGCTATACCCCGATTTGTTCTGCGCATCACTCTTGTTGATATGCCATGGAATTATAAAGTACCTTCTGATCTCAGCTCGTGCCCGCCTAAGTGAGCAAGACACAATGCTCCCACAAATCCCTGAAAACTATGTCTGTTCGTGTCCATGGAGGCCGAGCGCGAGGTTTGGCCTTGGTTCAGATCAATGTCAACCCAAACTGCTTTAAACCCGAATGGTTCTGGTCCTTGAAATTTTGGCGATCCTCGTATAAGTGTTGTTTATATCTCGGTTTCTGCAATTTCAGCCGGGTTCGCATTATCTTCTAACCACTCCATTTGATCTGGGGTGGACTAGGTTACAATGTTCCAATCGCCCTCTTCCCCCATGGTTGTTACTGGCACATGTGCCATCCTTGACTGCAGCATGTCTGCTTATGAGGCTATGATCAACCTGGCTACACAGTCACCTTTTGTATTAGTTGTTTAGTTAGTGGCTAATCCTAATTAAAAACCCTAATAAATGTGATGTCCCATGGCAATTGTTCCATCACACACTAATAGTAAAAGGATCAACTACTAAGTCTACCATGGAACATTTACTATTCATTGGACAAAATGTGTGCACAATGCATCTGCTCTCATGGTCCCCTCTCGCTACACAACAGTGCCCCCTAGAGCATCATTGTGTCCATGTTCAAAAAGTTTTGGTCTCTTCTTCGAAACAATAGCAACATCATTATCTCCCCATGTCCATAGAATCTAAGATCATAGGAATGAATGGGTATATGAGAAGGAATGATTGAACAAATAAATTCATGATGGAATATGGTTTTCTACTTTCAAATGGTATTACACATATGGAGAAGATTGTCTTAATTTGAATAACATGTTGTGAGTTTATTTATTTATTTTTTGTATTTTGGAGATGAATTGGTCTTTTTTAAAATGTCGTGGTTATTCTGTGGTAGTTAATCTGTTCTGCTGGTAATGCCTTCTGACTCAAATCTTAATATCTCAAAAATAGTGCTTAACAACGATGTTAAATTTCTTTTACACAATTTACTTGAAAAAAGATATTCACAAACTCTATATACACACACACACATATGTATGTATACATACAGACAGACAGACATACATTCTATGTAATAAGAAAGCTTAGTTATAAGACAAAGAGATAAAGAAGTCTACTCATTGAACATTATGAAAGAACAACAAATATTCACAAATAAGACAACATTCTTTTAACTTAGATATTTAAATTATTGTAGTTTACAAGAATTGTATTTACCAATAACACTAAAGAAACATAAATGGTCCTATTGTTGTGTGTATACTATTTTCCTTCTTTTTTTCTCTTTTTCCTTGGTCAACATTTCTTTAAGAGTGGTCAATTTTTGAGTTAGCAACCACAAATTAAATTTTGCAACTTTCTCATGCCCAATGACATGGGTTTTGACTAGTGTAAAGATATATATATATATATATATATATATAAGTTGTAATGAGTACATATCCATCTTCAACTCCTATTTAATTTCGGATAGAAGACAAAGCCAATGAATTCTTCAAAGTCATTTGTTTCTGTACTCAATTAGGTGTTATCATATGCCCCACCCCACAATTTCCTTGTGAATCCAAATAAATTCCTCTAATACTTTTTCTCCCCTTACATTTCGATAATCTATGCTCTATATTAACCAACCTATCTTTTCTTTCTTTTCATTATTCTCTCAGAACTCAACACAAATCCTATAACAATATAAAAACCCCAAATCCTGTAATCCACCATAAAGAGACAAATCAGGATGCTTGTAAAAAGAAAGTTAAAGTGAGGAGCTGATTCAATATTTTCTCGAAATTATTTTTCTTCACCAATAATATCGTTTCCAAAGGTACATGGCAATACTAAATAATCTTGGTTCAACCTCAGCCTCCCGAACGAATCTCATCCGACGAATGTTCGAAAGACAAACGGATGGATGAACTCTGTCCATAAGTGCGAGACAATATCCCCGAGATTGGCCACAGTTACCGAAAGGCTATGCGGTAGAGGAGAAAAGTCTGCTGCTGCAGTGGAGAAGTGGGCAAATTTGCAGAAGAATGCTGCTGACGATGGGATCGCGCATTCGAGAGGGTGAGCAATGGAAGAGAGGAAGAGAAAGAGTAAAAGAGAGAGCAGCGCAAAACCTACAAATTGTGTCAAGACAACCACCAACACACGAGGTAAGAAAGAAGAACGCGTGAGAGAGAGTCAATGGCGTCAGTGTGGGGAACCCATCGCTGCGAGAGACCCTGAACTGCATGTATCGCGAGATGGAAGCCTCTACTTGGTGAACAAGTAAGATTCGTCTGGAAGAGGTAGCGGCAGGTGCATGGGGGCGAAGTGGCATGGGACCCCCCCCCCCCCCCCCGCGAATAGCTTCATTCGCCGCCGGTTGACGGAGGAGGTGCCAGCGAGTGAGGCGAGTGGAGGAGAGTGAGTGAGGGAGGTAGGGATTGAGTCAGTGGACATGAATGTCGTTGTTGGGTTTGGGAAGCAAGGGGCAGCCTTGACCCAAGGTAGAAAAACCAAGGCAAAGGGGGGGTGAGTCAGTGTGGAGTGCGGCGCCGTGTAAAGGAGAGCAGTGTATTGGGGGGCAAGACTTTGGAATTCAGCAGCGACCAATCTGTGCTCCTCATTTATAACTACCGAGGGCTACTCGTTGTCTTGTTGAGAGTGTTAAATCCGTTTGATGAGTCTCAAATCCAACGTGCAGTGGCACTAGTGCGCCACGACGAGCGTGTATATGAAAGGGTGGTTGTGAGAGTAGAGGTGAGTGGCCTGGAGTGGCGAACGATGAATTGAAGGGTTGGAATTGGAACTGGAATTGAGTTTCCTCCCTTTGTAAGCGAATAGGTGAAACATAAATAAACCAAATCTGCATTTTGTGGGAACAAATTTCCTTGCAGTGTGAAGGGTGTGCGTGTGTTGGTTTGGTTAGTTATTTGTAGTGGTATTTTGTTCCGTGTAGGGTTTCTGCTTTGTGTGGTCAAGAAGGGTGATTTGTGTTGGTTTTTGAGTGGGATGTCACAATGGGGAGCGAAATGCATTTCGATTTATTGAAACCAACTTGAACGAGGAGAGATTTTTTTAGTTTTTGTTCGTTTATTTAATTCTTTTATTTTTATTTTCACTTTTAAAAAATCTGTTTGAGTTTGCGCGTGTGTGAGAGAGATTAAGCATCAGAAAGTTGAAACTAGGAGGGATTTGTTAATTGTTTTTGACTGTAAGAACGGAGTCTATATCATCGTTATTGAGAATGAATATTTTCAGTTTCGCATCAACAATGAGAAGCAGAGGGATTTTGAAAAGAAAGGACACGGGCCTAGACTGCGTCATAGACGAAGAAGTTTTGCAGCAACCGCAGCAAGCATCGTTAGATGCATTCAGGTCGTACGCTGTGAATCGTGATCCTTTAGCAGAATTTGCCGTCAAAAGATTGTCAAACAAGGAACTATCTGCTGGCTGTGAAACCTCCTCAGCGGCACATCATGGAGCGGGGTACCCGCTATTGAAGCGAGCGCGCTCAGAGGAGATTGCTCGATTTGAGGAACAGAAGAAGCCCTGCCACCGAGCTTGGTTGCTTGCCAACCAGTTGCGACATTCTCTTGGCCCTAACTTCGCCGAGACCATCGGTCAAGTTGTGAAAAAGGAAGACGGCTTGACCACCACATCATCATCGCGTCTTGCCTGGTCCTCACAATCTCCATGTAATAAAATTTCTTTAGCACCAGAATCAAATGCAATCGACCCGCATTCATTCCGTGTTCGTGCAAAGGAGCCCAACGTTTGGTCAGACAAGCAGAATCAATATAATCCAAGAGGACGACCTGCACCACCTCTATTCGACGAGCCTACCACTCAACCGCCTCTTAACGCCAATGACTCAGAGGGTGCCGGTCTGCACAAAGAGCACCTTGTGGACAAGTCGACTGCACCTCCACTCGCATCAGCCCTCGCTAAGCGAATTCCGCTGAGGCGCACGCGGCGCCGATTTCCGGAGGCAGACGCCATGGGGATCACTAAACCCGAGCAGGCGAGCAAACCAGCGTCAATCATGAACGCGCATATCTCTTCCACACCCCAAAGCGGATTGTTCACCCAGGCATCGCAGTGGAAGGTGGAGCGTGGCACTCCGCACTATCGTGGTGTTCGGCAACGGCCATGGGGAAAGTTCGCAGCCGAGATTCGAAATTCTGCTAGACAAGGACAGCGCGTCTGGCTGGGCACATTCGATACAGCGGAGCAAGCAGCTAGGGCTTACGATGCCGCCGCGTTCGAAATGCGAGGATACCGAGCGCTTCTCAACTTCCCGTTGGAAGCTGCACTTTCTGAATTACTACCTCCTCCTCCTCCTCCTCCTCAACTGGAGAAGCAAATCTTAGAGCTCAAAGCCTCATCAATTATCACCAACTCTTACACGGAGGATTCTGAAATGATCGTCATAAGGACGGAGTGTCCATCTCCTCCCCCCGCTGCAGCAGACCCAATTGCATCCTCAGCTGGCTTGGAGTTGCAAGATCTCGGGACAGATCTCCTCGAGAACCTGTTGTCAATTACGCATCCCGAACTGGATTCGGGCCCTGCGTCTCCTCAGCCAAGCTTCGACGGATGCCTCTCATTCTTCGCTGACTTCGGCGGCGGCGGCGTTTCTCCAGCCCTCCTCGCATGATCTTTGCCAGGGTGCTCTTAATCTTTCTATTGTTACGATGATCAAAAAGCTCGCTGTAGTACGAATCGTAATCAGCCGAAAGCAACCTGCAATTCACACATTGATCTCTCCAGAATTAGAGCCAAATACTTGCAGTTTTGCTGAGATGATTAATTAAAAATACGTCATATGATGTGTAGAGCACACTGTTTATTTCCTCTTATCAATTTGTTCACACCGGAAAATTTCCACTACGCATTGTTCTACCGGGATATCTCTTCGTAGTTCGGAAGACTCTGATATGATGTGTTGATGCTTCAGTTATTTGTCGATCGTTTATTCGTGATCAATGTGATGATCGGCGAGTGGCAGAATTTCATCTGTGAATTGATCGCATCAGGATTTGTGAGGCTGCAGAGACAGTCGAATTGTTTGTGTGAAAAACATATCCTTGCCGATTCAGGTTTTCGGGTTTGGCACGGTGTTGAATGCTATTGAAAACAATCCAAAATGCAATAGCTGACCTCATTTACCGTTATTTATCTATAATATTGGACAATTCCACTTCAAAGCTAAAAAAAAAATTGAACCAAAAGACAGAGTAAAACATTCACAAAAAGATGAGTTAGGATATTCGCAAAATCTAGCACTACAAAATGGTGTTGGTCACACTTTAAGTGCAAGTAGAGAACAATATGTTAATAATCTTTGGTACAAAAATTGGATGTAGTAGCATTTATTCGACACTTTCACCTACAGCTGGATTGCAGTGAACATAAATTCCACTGAGCCCCCATCAAGTCTGTCCCATCAACTGTCCACGCAATCCATAAGTCAAGGAAGGCAAGCTCAAATGAGGCTTAATGAGGGCTCAGTGGGATGTATTACAAAATCATAGACCTAAGGTCAATAGCACCAAATGTCAACTGCACTTTGGTCACGCACTGAAACGCCCTTCACCTCTGGTAGCTTTTCACACCAGCCGAGATTCTAGTTGTCGGTCATGGGAAACTCTAGAACTCGCGCTTGCGCAGTTGACCGAAGTAGACAGCGGAGCTCCGTCAGATTCAGTGATCTTGTGATGAATCACCAAAGCGAGGCGAATCACTGAAGTCATCGGGAAGCAGTGGATCTGCAAGTCGTCGGATCTGTCTGTATTCCACTTTGGACCCAATTCGGACCTGATCATGTTTCTGATGACTTCAGGTTGAGTTGCGATGTGACGGGTCATTCAAAAGCATGGCACCTTCAGATGGGATTGCGTTGTGTTTGTTCAACTGTGGAGGAGGTGATGTTGGGGGTGGTGGTTTCTTTCTTTCTTGCAGCTTACCTGTGCAGTATCTTTTCAGAGTATCAAAAACACCTTTGTGTCTGCGTTTATGTGTGAAGGAGCTGATGAGGTAGTTGCAGTAGTAATTATTACACATGTAATTGTTAATTTTATATTTAAAATATTCTAATATAATTCATTAATATTTTAATACTCAATTATCAATATGTATTAAGAAACTGTTTTAGTATCATATTTTGAATATTAAACTTTTGGTATCTAAATATTGTTAAATAATTCAACTGTGTATTATTAACAATATTGAAATAAATCTTTATTATTTATAACTTTCCTGAAAATATTTAAACTCTCCTATTTGGCATCATTCATTCTCTTGTGTTGGCATTCAGTTTTTAATGAATGTGAGAAGACGTTCTTGATCCAGACCATTAAAGTCAATTCTGAATTCTCCAGGAGAACAAATGTTTCATTTTATTTCAATCAAGCATATGCGTGTTAACTAAATTGGTTGTTTATATATATGTCACTTTTACAATAACAAGTATTACAGTTTACATTTTGCATACAACATGTTTTGTTTGCAATACTAACTCGAAAATTTCAAATCAAAGTGTCATAATCTTATATCTACTGTAGTTTTAATATTTCACATCATGTTCTGTTATTACACAACTGTTGATTAACTGACAATTCTAAATTTTTTCAATAAATAGAACTTTACATTCATTTATGATCGATGGACATTAAATTATTCAAAACATCTTGTTACTATCATTTTAAATTTGTGCAAAAACTTTTGATAAAAATCTCACTTGGATTCCATTCAAACTTCAAATTTCAATACCAAGACTGCCACAAATAAACATCTTCATTGACAAAATGTGATATCTACTTTACTACCATTTTGTCATTCTTACAGTAGAAGATATAACCCAAACCTTTTCTATCAAGGAAAGTGGTGAACAAATATAACTAGGCTACAAATAGCTCAAGAGTGATAGACAAAACAACAAGGGCTTAGGAATATCTCTAAAGCCCTTGCCCAAAGGCAAACAAGCCTTGTCTCAAGGGTAGCTGGTTGGGCAAATATGAACTTGCTTGCTTAAGCAATCGTTCCACCCTACCTAATCTATTCCTTAGACTTAAGGCAGGGACGAGTTTCAATGCACTCTCATTTTCAGAGTGATTGCACTGCAGCTCTGCCTCGGGCCACGTGCCTACTTAGCTCAGGAAGGGTAGCGTCAACAGTGCAATTAAGCAATCCGATTGAGAGTCACCATTTCTTCAGACATTGAAACACCAAATGAATCAGTTTCAACTACATGAGTGTACGAATAAGCTCTTAAAACTGAATTTGCAGCTCATGAGCCGGCCCAAACAACAAAATCGCGTTTCTGTTGTAAACAAAGAGTTTTGGATCAGAAACTTGAATTGGCATTCACAGTTCACCTAGCCGAAATAATTCCAAATTTGCTTTTGATTTAACAATTCGTGGATACAACGACATAGAGCATCAACAACAAACTGATCAGCATCTTAATATTCACTTGTTTGTTGTCAAAGCCAAACCAGTAGTAGGATTTTTTTATGGAATTTTGAGGTAAAGAAAATTCGTACCTACATGATGATTGAAAGAATTCACAAGTGCGGCGGATAATCTGCACACAAGCATGAATTGGGTTGGTTATGGATAACAGTGTCCGATAAAATGTGAGCCCAAATGACTGCTTAATCCAACCACTGAACGTAAACAAGCTAATCTCCTTCGCTCGACCATTCGGCAAATCCTAATTCAAAAACTGTGATTAAGAGCAGTTTTACTTGTGCGTGCAAGCCATGGACATACTTCACCAGCTAGCTTTACATGCAGTGTTGTAATCATTTTTTTATTTCATTTTGTAGATGAAGAAAATTTCTGTTGATAATCTTGCTCTAAACGAAATACTAGTGTACGGTACGTGGAGTGTATCAATAAGCACACTGAAGTCCAGAGTATCAAACGAGTCGATTATCTCATCGAGGTTATCATAAAGATTAATATACTCCTACGCTGGTGTTTCAAATCTGACACCTCCCGGTACAATTCACGAGGCAACAATTCTCGCAGCAGTCCGTGCAACTTCAGTCCCAACAATGTGAACCTTACTCCCCATCAATTGAGAAAATCAAGAAAAAAGAGCCCTTGAGAGCAATTGCTACTTCTGCAATCTACATTCTCCACTTCGCAGAACACACTGGCAAACAAAAAAACAAATACACAACGAGGGACAGCTAAATGCTCAAGAAAGGGCTACAAATTGCGCGCTTAGCTGTCGAGCAGCGCAGCTACTAAATGAGCTCATCCAGATTAAATCTCCAGCCAGCACTAAACCTAAACCCCGCTCGCACCCACTAAAACCTCACCTCTGCAAACAAATGCGTCGAAGCAGAACCTCGCTTGCAAAAAAAAACGATGGATACGATTCAAAGCTCGTCAACCGAACCTTGACAACGAAACACAGGTAAGAGAAAGCGCCAGCATCACCTGCCTGACCTACCCACGCGCGCACCCACCATCTGAAACCCCCAGCAACGAGGAATCCAACAGCATACAGAGCAATTATAGGAAAGGGAAGAGGGATACAAGCACCAGCGAGAAAAGCTGCTTCTCCCCAGGGCAGCAGGGGGAGAGGCAAAGACTGGACAGAGAGGGTGTGGAGTCAGGGGGCGAGCGACGTCTCTGTTTATAGCAGCAGTCAACCATAATCCCGCAGAGATGTGGCGGCTCCGGGGCAGACAGTCTGCAATGCAGTCCCCACACGCTCGCTCTCGCCCACCATCGCCATCCAAGGGATGGTGGGAGAAGTGGGAGAGGTGGGGGCGGGGGGTTCTCCAATGCCGCTGCGCTGCATCAGCAGCCTTTTTAGCCTCCGTCCTCGTCGCCCCATGCATCCAGCACCTGGCTGGGTTTGGCGTTTGCTCCCGCAAGCAAACAAATGCTGCGGTCCAATTTTCCGAATTATCGGAGATGCTTGTGTGCTCTCTTCCTCAACAACAACCCACCCACATCTTTGAGGGCTGTTTCGTCTTCTGCTTCCTCATGGGCTTCGTTCGCAGTGAGTGTGAGAGCGTGAGAGAGTGATTTCATTTCCCGTCGTGCCCGCATGCATTCCTTTGCAACTTTTGCTCCGTCGTGGTGTGGTGTGGTGGTGGTGGTGCGGTACCCTTAACGCGTTCCTCGCGTCACGTTTGCTCCTCCGCCACCGCGCCCGTTTTCTTACCGGCCCCTGCCCGCTGTGTGCCGGTGGAAGCACGTTCATCCATTTGGATGAACTTGCATTCGTTCCATTTTAGGAATCGTTTGTCCATTTCATGATATAAACGATATTGATGTGTGTTTAATTTTAGAGTTGTTCTCACCATTTTAATCGTTTTATTAATTTTGTTCTTATTCTTATGGGAAATTCAAGATGATTTCTGTATTACTCAATAGGGAGAAGAGGGAACGAGTGGGAGGCAATGCCACAAATAATATAGTGGCGGATGGAACAATTAGATGGTGTTTTTGCCTACTTGGCATGTTCCTTTTCACTACCCACACTAATAATAAATATAATAATAATTTCAATTCTAGATATATAGTAGCATCAGGGGTCATTGTTTAGCTACAAAATTTTCTGATAGGAATTCAATTGTTATTGTGATTGACACAATTGTTTTTAACATTTTAAACTAATTCCCTTAATTTTACATCCTCAAATTTTTAGATAATAAATATCAAAATATCAAAATTATCTTCATTCATTTGAAATAAAATTTCTGATAGGAATTCAATATATATATATATATATATATATATATATATATATATAAAACAACATTTCCAAAAATCTTTTTCTCATTTAAAAAAAAAACATAAAACATATTTTAGAATGTTCTATCCAACTGCACGAATTTTATTCATTGAAATTTTAAAAATTAAATCTTATAAATATATCATTAATTCGAAAATAACTATTATTTTTATATTATTTAAATATTTATTCTACGCATATTTTTCTTTAATTCAGTAAAACAATTACATGTAAAACTTAAGTGAGAACACAACATCCCTAGAATATACTATCTCAAGTTTATGGATGGTTTTATTATATTTTAAAATGCAATAATTTTTTAAAAGTATATAATTATTGATTTTTTTTCAAGTTTTTTTTGATGAATATCATAAGATTCTTTTAACCATTTATTTACTTCATCATTATAAAACTTTGTTGTATTATTTTTACATTCTTCAATGTCAGCATAAATAATTTATTCATTCTTTTATTGCTTTATTTATTTATTTATTGATTCTTTTGCTTTATTTGATATTAGAAAAGAAAATGTGAATTTTTTATTAAATAGTGTCGTAAAATATTATATATATATATATATATATATATATATATATGTTCTTGTATTGTTTTACATTTGATTTTTCTATCTATTTTAGATTTAATAAAATAATATTTATTTTTAATTTATCTTTAATATATATATATATATATATTAAATATATTTTATGTTTTGCTTATGGTAACAAATTATAATAATTCCCACATTTACCTAAACTACTTAAATAAATAGAAATGATTAAAAGTAGATGAAAACATATCAAGCATACCTTTTTTTTTAAAAGAATATTCAAATAATCTATTTAAATAAGTATTTTAGCTTTAGGTGTCCTTAAGTGTACCATGTAGGTATAAAAATTTATTTTCGAAGTTTATTATATTTAAAAAGCATCTATAGAAGCTATGGACAACTTATATTATTGATCTAAAAGCTTTGTGTTTTTTAGGTAGTTGGTCAAAAAGCCTTGTGCACTTTAACAAATAATAAATAAATTATATCATTGCATATAAGAAATACACATACATACATACATCACACAAAAAAAAACTAAGATAAATCATTATGGTGCAATTGTTTTAATTTCTTATCATCTCATTGAATAGATGTTTCATTTGAATTATATTTAATTTTTTATATAATGTGAGAGATCATTAAAAATACAAGATAAGAAATTAGTGTTATTTAATTCTAATCATTTTTTTTTTCTTAATTTGTAAGTACCTTTTGAGACATAAAATTACTGTAAAATTTCTTGAAACATTACAGTAAACTAAAATATTTCATTCAAAGATCTTCATGGTTTGATATTGCATGTTTAATATTGCACTTGATCATTGTTAATTAACTCATCACATTTCATTTTTCTTTTTTCAAAAATTTCTTATTGTGAATGAAATCATGGAATATTTACTTAAAACCATCAATAATAATTCTACAATATTATATATGTATATAACTTGGCAAGCAATTGTCAAGGACAAGAACTCGATGAAAGCTAAAGAGTAAGTGAGACTTTTCTCAAAAAGAAATAGGACAAAATAGAAATATGTATATTAAGAAAGAAACTGGAATGGCTATTGCCAAAATACAAGAAAACTAGAGACCCTTGAAACTAGACTAGAAGCAAGAAAGGAGTTGACAAGAGTGAAGAGGGCTTCACTCTTGCCTCTATATATACTATCTAACTAGAAGCCACATGGCGATGTTCTATAAGACCTCCAATATATGTTGACTTTCTAGGCCACATGCCTTTGCTTGCAAGGCAAGTTTTCTATGGATGGACCACGTAGTTAGCTTGTTCTTTAAACTTCCAACATGTGTGGCACATGGCTAACTTGTTGACCAAGTTTCTAACCTAAAAGTCAACTATAGACTCCTATAAAGTCAAAGTAGCGTCTATGAAGCTTCTAAGAAGCTTCTCTAGAAGATATTACACAATTAACATACTTTTACATACTTTTATCTATTCATATAGGTAATTATATGTATGTCCGTGACATTACCCCCCCTTCTAGGGACGAGTTCCACGAGGATCGGTGATTATATATTGAGAAAATCTAATATGCGGCGAATTGTATTTGCTACATACTCTGATCTTTGTTCTCTTCGAAGATAGTTGATGGGTCCTCTTAGCCATCGATAGTGTCCCATTCCAGGGCGAGAAGACCACCCTGTTATTTGATCACTGTTGAGGCCTTCATAACTTCCTTCAAATAATACATTTGAAACACCATCAGGAGTCGTTCATATCTCCAATAATATCACCAAACATCGAGAATCTCTTCCAAGGTCGTGATACCAAACGCGTTGTATCTCACCATCTATTCGAGGAAGAACATGTCGTTCTTGAGGGTCTTCATCTCGGTTGCGTCGTCTTGAAGGTTGTGACAATCGCAATGTCTCATCCGGTAAGTCAGCAAACGAAGGTTCTTGAGTTGAATCCGCTGGTTGTTGGCTCTCCATCTAATTAGCATCACAAAATGCAAAGAAGTTACAAACAAGGATAGGAAATTGAATGTTATCTTGCCTCAATCTTGTCTCTTTTATAAGAGAGGTTTTCATCTTGGTTTTGATGGATGTCGTTGATGAAAAACTTTGACTTTAGCTGATGCATTTGCTAGATTCCTGGATGGCTCCCATGTGCGCTCACTAATATCATATCCGCACCAATGAACAAGATATTCCAGCTTATTTCGGCGCCGCCTTGAGTCTAATATCTCTTCCACCTCAAATTCTTCATTATTATCTACTTCTATAGGAGGCGGTGGCATTTGTCTTCTTCCTTGTATATCCACTGTCTTATATGGTTCAAGAAGAGACACGTGGAATACATGATGGATCTTCATTGACTCCGGTAGATATAACCGATATGCAACTGGGTTGATCTGTTCAGAAACAGAAAAGGGGCCAAGCCTACGATAGTCCAATGTGTCACAAGGTCGAGTGGTCTTGATATTGCGACGAAGTAGCCATACCTTATCACCCACGTTGAGTTGTGGTTGCTCTTTACGATATACATCTGCATTTATCTTTTGCCGTTCTTGAGCTTTCTTTAACTGCGCCTTCATTATTGCATGTAACTCTGACAACCGATTTGCCATATCTTCTGCTGCAGGATTATCAACTTTTGAAAAATCAAAAGTATCAAGTCGTGGATGATAGCCATAATTGGCAAAGAAAGGTGTTTGTTGCGTGGAGGAATGTACCGTATTATTATAAGCAAACTCTGCCAATGGCAGAAGGTTTGTCCAATCATCTTGTTGATAGTTGATGGTACACCTTAAATACTATTCCAAGACTTGGTTTACGCGCTCTGTTTGTCCATCAGTTTGAGGATGGAAAGCTGAAGATAGCTTTATGTCCACTTTTAAAATCTTGAAAAGAGTCCTCCAGAATCTCGACACAAATTGAGTTCCCCTATCCGATATGATATCTTTAGGTAATCTATGATAGCGATAGATATTATCAATGAAAAGCTTAGCTGTTTCTTCACCTGTGATAGATTTTGTACATGGCATAAAATGTGCCATCTTGGTGAAACGATCTACTATCACAAATATAGAATCATAAGATCTTGAGTTTGGAAGATCTGTGATGAAATCCATAGAAACAAAAGACCATGGTTGTTCTGATATAGGTAATGGCTGAAGAAGTCCGTAAGGTCGATGTCGAGGAATTTTTGATCTTGAACAAATATCACATGATTGTACAAAGTCTTTGACTGACTTCCACATTTGTGGCCACCAAAAATCTCTTGATATGAGTTCCAAAGTCTTATTATATCCAAAGTGCCCTGCTGCTGGAAAGTCATGACGTGCTTGAAGAACACGCAAACGTGCTTTTCCTTCTGGAACATATAGGCGTCCTTCAAAATATAATAGATTATTCTTGAACTCGAACTTAGAAGAATCATGAGACTTGGAAGAATTATTCTCGATATCATGAACAAGAGGGTCTAAGGACATACTGGACTGGATTTGCTTGAGAAAAGCTGAATCAACAGTCAATGTTGATTTCACTGCTCGGAGATGAAATTGCTCCGGTTTCAAGAGGACCGTTCTTTGTTGCTCAAAAGCTGCATCTCCTTCTTTTGGTGCAAAATAAGAACGTCTAGATAGGGCATCGGACAAACCTTGTTGTTTTCCTGGCCGATAAGTGATAATGAAGTCGAATCTTGACAAAGACATACTCCAACGAGCTTGACGACGATTCAACACGCGTGCTGACATGAAATACTCGAGGTTCTTGTGAT